AGTTGTTTTTTGTTAGCATAGATTTTTCTCATACTAATGTTTTTAAAAACTTCGAACTATTGAATGAATTAACGAAGAGACAAATCATCCTAAAATAATAGAAATTATGACTGTGATGATTTCCATCAAGGGGACACAAAGAAAAAATGGCAGTTTTTTGTTGTTTTTTTTCAATTTTTGTCAATTATTCATCGAATTCATGCTCGGTGTTATTTTGATTGCACAGTTGTGTTTGTGCTGAAGACATGGACCTGTGATTGAAATAGTAACAATACAAACATTTTAATTGTTCATAACACTTTTAAGCGATTTTTCAGTTTAGTAGAACTTAAACTATCAAATAAATGAACATTGTGTTTTGTACTATTTGTGTATTATCTTTGACAGTAGCTTACAGAACCCGGCTCATTTTACCTTTATTTTAATGAGATTTAGTTATATTTATCTAACTTTACGTTCTGGTTTATGAATCTTTTGCCAGATTATTGTATAAATGTAATATGCAATATTAATGGCGTTAAGCCATACTGTGATTTTCGGAATATAACTTCAAATATCAGAGTTAGAGTATATGATATTCACCGTAAACAGTTATTAACCGTTCATTATTAATTTGGATAAGATGCAACGCTTAATTTACCTACAGAGGTATTATTAATAAGGTGCAACGCTTGGTTTACTTATTGAGGTATTATTAATAAGGTGCAGCGCTTGGTTCACCTATTGAGGTATTATTAATAAGGTGCAACGTTTGGTTTACCTATTGAGGTATTATTAATAAGGTGCAACGCTTGGTTTACCTATTGAGGTATTATTAATAAGGTGCAGCGCTAGGTTTACCTACTGAGGTATTATTAATAAGGTGCAACGCTTGGTTTACCTATTGAGGTATTATTAATAAGGTGCAACGTTTGGTTTACCTATTGAGGTATTATTAATAAGGAGCTGCGCTTGGTTTACCTATTGAGGTATTATTCTGACGGGTTTGAAATACCATTTTAATTGTTCATTTCTTCATGTACGACTTTTCGCCAATTCATATAGCACGTTTTCACTGTACTTGATACCTTTATTCTGTGGAATATGAAGAAATAGATAAATGAATTATTTCTGTGTAATATACCAAAATTAAATATTTTTTTCCATTTGAGAAAGTCATGGCCTTTGAAATCTGTTCTCTTCTTCTATTGCCTGCAGTACCGATTAATGTACTTTTAAAACTTTTCAGATAAAAGATTGTGTGGTACTGTTTTTAATTATTCCTTATTATTTTATTGTTTCTGTTCGGTAGCTGACGTACAACTTTCTAAGGTTAGTCATTCTTTCTTATTCTTTTATGTTGCATGATTTTTAAATATGAATATAAGAAAGATACTTATGAAGTGTCTAACTTGGGGAATGATTACATGAAAATATAAGAAAGATACTTATGAAATGTCTAACTTGTGAAATGATTAAATATAAATATAAGAAAGATACTTATGAAGTGTCTAACTTGTGAAATGATTAAATATAAATATAAGAAAGATACTTATGAAGTGTCTAACTTGAGGAATGACTAAATATAAGAAAGATACTTATAAAGTGTCTAACTTGAGGAATGACTAAATATAAGTATAAGAAAGATACTTATGAAATGTCTAACTTGTGAAATTATTAAATATGAATATAAGAAAGATACTTATGAAGTGTCTAACTTGAGGAATGATTAGATATAAATATAAGAAAGATACTTATGAAGTGTCTAACTTGGGGAATGATTACATGAATATATAAGAAAGATACTTATGAAGTGTTTAACTTGGGGAATGATTACATAAGAATAACAGAAAGGTACTCGTGAACTGTAGTTTGTAAAATGATTAAAGAACAATACAAGAAAGACACTCAAAGATTGCCTAACTTGTGGATTTATTACATAAGAACATAAGATACTCATAAATTACTTAGCTTTTGGAATGATGAAGAATAAGAAGGTAAGGAAGATATTCTTGAATTGTCTAAAATCCGGTATGATGAAATCATGCAACATAAAAGAATAAATAAAGAATGACTAGATATGATGTAATTTCACAAGTTAGACATTTCATAAGTATCTTTCTTATACTTATATTTAATCATTTCACAAGTTAGACACTTCATAAGTATCGCCCCCCAGTGGCACAGCGGTATGTCTGCGGACTTACAACGCTAGAATCCAGGTTTCGATACCTGTGGTGGGCAGAGCACAGATAGCCCTTGTGTAGCTTTGTGCATAATCAAAAAACAAAAAAAAACAAAAAAAATCATAAGTATCTTTCTTATATTCTTGTTTAATTATTCCAAAGTTAGGTAGTTTTATGTATATTCTATGTATTCGTTAGCGTCTTCTGGGTTTTTTATAAACTATTTTTTTGATTTCAGAGCATTCCCGTTCAGGGAAGATCTCTTATCTAATTATATTTTTCAATTTTGGATTTTCGCCTTATTCGCTAGCAGTTTCAAATATAATTATGCTGAAGGCAATTTTCCTGTCTTTTTTTTCATACTTGCTATTTATGCTCATAATTCTGCTGTTTGTCTGGGATGCTAAGCAACTAAAACGTAATGTTTGGATGTTTAGACTTTTTATAACGAGCTAGTCAATGTTTGTTTTGTTTTTTTATTAGGGTTTTACAATGAAAGTCACATACGAAATTTTATAAACCCTCTTGACAAAAGTGAGTTTTTGCATAAACATATAAAAACATGCTACTGTTTGAAAAAAGTTTTAAAAACTGTGACATACACCTGAATATAAAACTGTAACCCAACTTTCTCTGACTGTTCTTAATGTCGTAAGAAGTGTTTTTAAATGTAATATCTTAATTAATTCAGATATAATTTCTGAATAATAGAAAATACCTTTATCAACACAGTTTCTTTCAAGCTATGGTATCCCGGTGGGATAGCGGTATGTCTACAGATTTACAACGCTAAAATCAGGGGTTCGATTCCCCTCGGTAGACAAAGCAGATAGCCCGATGTGGCTTTTCTATAAAAAAAACACACACGCATTCGAAATAATTTAAATTTGACGATACCTGGTGGCTAAACACGCTCTCCTTTCCGACTGGGCGGGGCATGGCCAGGTGGTTAAGGCGCTCGACTCGCAATCTGAGGGTCGCGGGTTCGAATCCCCGTCACACCAAACATGCTCGCCCTTTCAGCCGTTGGGATGTTATAACGTGACGGTCAATCCCACTATTCGTTGGTAAAAGAGTAGCCCAAGAGTTGGCGGTGGTTGGTGATGACTAGCTGCCTTCCCTCTAGTCTTCCACTACTAAATTAGGGAC